CCCCTCCCTCCCTCCCCAGCCAGTGGCACTGCCACTCTTTCTCCATGTGCTCACAGTGGCACCCTGCCCTCTGGCATCCTCTCTGTCCCACAGACACCAACACACAAGTGCCTTCCCACCTCAGAGTTTGCAGGTGCTACTCCCTTTTCCTATAGCACATACCATGAAATAAATTATATTAAACACAAAGGTAATAAAAACTCAAAACTCATCACTTCCTAGTTATTTTACTGCATTTTACATTATTCACACTCTTGTAGTTATGTCTAATGTATCTACAGGGTGAAAACACTATACAATGTATTATAATACTATGCAATTTATATACTATACAATGTACAATGCATCTCTTCCAATCCTAAATTTATCATTATCTTCTTGGTAGCTTGGTAGCTATGGTGAAAGTACTTACACTGCAGAAATTGGCAAATTCTAAAAATCAGGGTTTTCCTGGTGAGGGGGCTGGTGTGTGCTTAGGAAAGCCAGCTGTTAAACATTTACCAGTACACTATTGTCTATAATAAAACTTTTGTGTTTCTTTTCAATTCTTTGACCCAATATAATTAATGCACTTGGCAAACAATATCCACATTATAGTGTCAAATTCTTTTAATGTGTTTTCTCATTAAATCACATAATAACTCTATGAAGTGAGTATAATAATCCTATTGTATAAGCAAGGAAATGAATGCAGCGAGGTTAACATAATTAGGCTGGTACACAACTGAGCAATGACTTGAAAATATGTTTGACACCAAAGCTCATGCTCTCTACACTAAACAATATGGAAACATTTTAGGGAGTATTTCTTCTTATTTGTGTATAGCTGGAGAAACAAGGAATCTCCCAGGAAGTTGGACATTTTCTGAAAGGAAGAACTGTTAGGGTGGAAGGGAAAGCCAGGGAGAATTCACAAAAGGAGTCATATAGCTTTGGCGTGATATTGGAGCAAAATCATCTACCTGTGACATCACTAATGTCAGGGAAATGGAATTATCATGTTGTCACATTCATTTGTAGTTTTTGGAAGACTGTAATTATGTTATAACCAATAAATAATATAACCAATGTTATAATTATGTTATAACCAATAAATAATAAGTGTGGGTCATTAAGAAGGACTTTGTGGTGGTGTTTTTTGCCTATGTGAATTCTTTTGGAGGTAATAGTTCCTCTTGTTAGAATGCTTCTGAGTGAATATGAACAAAGAAAATATCTGGCTTGGAGAGACGCCAAGCCTGTGTGTGACAACCAAGGACAAAATCCCCGAGAGTGGACTCACCTACCTGCTAATGTCATTCTAATTCCCTCGACTCACTTGTAATGGCTTTGCTGCTTATACTCTAATGGCTACCTGATAGAATTGTGGTATTCTGAATTAACAAAACATAGGGGAATTCTAACTGTAAGGCAAACAACAAAGAGAAAAATTTCTGGTAAACTTTCTCTCATGCCTTGGACCTTCGAAGCTGGCCCAATTCTAATGAATTCTATTGATGTGGGATCAGAACAATGATTCTCAGATGTTGGTGTGCCTAGGAAATACCCAGGGAGTTTGCTAAGATGTCTATTTCCAGACCCACCCCCAGAAATTCTGATTTTGTTCACCTGGATTGGGGCTCAGGTGTCTGTATTTTTTTTTTTTAGCACATCCCTCAGGAAGTTCTAATGTAGCTTGTCCAGGAACCAGCCGCTGAAAACACCCATCTAGAATGAAGCATATTTGGTTGTGGTGTAGTTTGTTCCTGCTGCAGCTAGTCTAGAAGCCCCACAAAGGAGAATGTAATTCTGCCTATTAAGCATGTAGGACAGCCTTGAGGTCTGACCCAGAATCTTTATCTAACCCTAGATAAAGATGGGATCTCAAGTTTGTCTAAGCACTTCTGGACTTCTTGGAAAAATTGCAGCCAACAGTGAGTTCTTGGACCTTCCTTCCTAGGATTGCATTTGTGCCTTAAAAAATTTGATAAGAACTTAACTAGTCAATAATCCAGAGGAGTAAAGACTTTTAGAGTTATCTTTTTTGAGCACTGACCTCTGCATCTAATGCTTTGTGAACACAATTCTGGGACATGGTCTCAGCTCTTGGAAGTTGATACTTCAATGACATATTGAGCAATATTGAGGAATAATAATACCTACTCTGGCAACTTGTTATAAGGATTAAATGGGATAATATACATAAAACACCTAGCTCAGTGTCTGGCATATTATGGGTCCTTAGGAAGGTGAAGGACCTAGCTGCACTGTTACCCTGTGAGTCTCTAGAGTAAATCTGCGAATCCCGTTCACAGAGGCCATGTCCTCCTTTTCTCTCGAAGCTCTGTAAACAATGCTCCTCAAGACAGAAGGGGCTTTGAAAAGGACAGGGAGGGGAAGCTTATTTTTTGTTCAGCAGTGTATGAAAAAGAGGTGCTCAATACATTTTTTTCTTTTTTCCTATATAATCATTTTTAAATCTTCATTTTTCCTTTCTTCTCTGGCCTTTTCTTCATCATTGTTCTCTCCCAATCTCTGTACACACACACACACACACACATTTTAATGCCTCCCATGACCCAGAGATCAAGGCCAAGGTCCTAATCCTTTACTCTAAAGTGTATTCTGAAGGGGCTCCAGGCTACTTTGCTTCCCTTCTCTCATGGTCTAATATTTTAATTATTCCTGCTACTTGATTAAAGCTTAAAGCATCATATTTTAATTTATTCCTGCTACTTGATTAAAGCTTAAAGCAGTTCCCAGCATCCACTTGCCCTTAATATATTTTAGGCCATTTCCCAATCTGTTATACAAAAATAAAACCTTCATTTTCAACACACGCTTGGTCTCTTCCATCATTCCTATTAGTTTTGCCAGCTGGTCTCAGAGTCCTGGACAGCTTTGCCTGGCCCTATGCTGCACACACGTGGAATTTGTTCAATTTTGTGCATGGCTCTGATGTATGATTCAGTAAGTTACTTGCCATTCTTATATTACCTTAGTGTTTGTTTCTCTTCAGTGAATATTCATTCAACCAAAGCCTGCTGAAATCGGACAATTTGTCAAACACTATACCAGATATAAAATAAATAAAGCATTATTTTTTATTTGTCAATTGTACCTCCCCAATAAAGCTGGGGAGGAAAAGTACTATTTCCACCTAGGAGGAGTGCATAGTGTAGAGAGCAAAGGCAGACATGTAAACATGTATATTATAGCACAGTGTGCTAAGTATCACATACTGTGATGTGAAGAAAAACGAATTTCTGGGGGAGTTGATAAAAGGTCTTGCAGGGCAGCCAGGTGCATGCTCTCGTTGGCTCACACCTGTAATCCTAGCACTCTGGGAGCCTGAGACAAGAGGATCACTTGAGGTCAAGAGTTCGAGACCAGTCTGGGCAACAGAGACCAGACTGAGCAAGAGCGAGACCCTGTCCCTAATAAAAAATATAGAAAATTAGGCAAGCTACGATGACACCACTACATTCTACCTAAGTGACAGTGTAAGACTCTATCTGAATAAAAAAAAGAAAGTCTCCCAGGAAGTGATATTTCTGTTAGTCTTGAAACATAAGTAGCAGTTTGCCAACCAGAGGACAAAAGTGAGGGTAAGAGGAAAAGAGGGCATTTGATAAAAAGGGAATCGAGTGTGCATGAGGCTCTGAAATCATTGTGGAAGATGCTGGCATGTTGAGGGATGTTTGCTAGGTTTGGTGGACTGGATGTGTGGTGGAGAGAGTGGCAGGACATGCAAAGGGATTAAACTGAGAGGGATCAAATTGAGAAGGCCTAGTTGAAGCAGAGAGGAATGAATTTTATTTTAAAGGCAAGAAGAGAAATAGGAAACTGTTTAAGCAGGGGAATTAAACAAGCAGGTTTGTCTGTTTCATGTTCGCATCTTCAATGAAGTCTATGTCTTGGAGTCTGGAAGGGATATGCTCTGCTTGCTTAATCAGAAGTGCTCAGAACAGGACACTACTTTCTTTTCAGGTCTAGAAATCACATGCTTTTACTATACCCAGGCTGCTCAGTCCGATCCAGAGCCCACTGGTGCTAATGACGTCGGGCCAAGAACATCATTGTATTACTCTGGCCATGTCCTTCAAATGTTGTCTCTCTCTCTTTGGCTAGGGTTGGGCATATGCTGACAGCTTTTGTCTCTCTGAACCCCATTTTTCCTTTTTTAGACACAGAGTCTCACTCTGTTGCCCAGGCTAGAGTGCCGTGGCGTCAGCCTAGCTCACTGCAACCTGAAACTCCTGGGCTGAAGCAATCCTCCTGCCTCAGCCTCCCGAGTAGCTGGGACTACAGACACCCACCACCATTCCTGGCTAATTTTTTCTAAATATATTTTTAGTTGTCCAAGTAATTTCTTTCTATTTTTAGTAGAGATGGGGTCTCACTCTTGCTCAAGCTGGTCTTGAACTCCTGACCTCAAACAATCCTTCAGCCTCAGCCTCCCAGAGTGCCAGGATTACAAGTGTGAGCTACCGCTCCCCGCCCATTTTCCTTTTTGATACTCTTTTTTTTTTTTTTTTTTTTTTTTTTTGTTGTCCAGGCTAGAGTGAGTGCCGTGGCGTCAGCCTAGCTCACAGCAACCTCAAACTCCTAGGCTCGAGCGATCCTTCTGCCTCAGCCTCCCGAGTAGCTGGGACTACAGGCATGAGCCACCATGCCCGGCTAATTTTTTATATATATATCAGTTGGCCAATTAATTTCTTTCTATTTATAGTAGAGACGGGTCTCGCTCTTGCTCAGGCTGGTTTTGAACTCCTGACCTTGAGCAATCCGCCCGCCTCGGCCTCCCAAGAGCTAGGATTACAGGCGTGAGCCACCGCACCCGGCCTGATACTCTTTTTATTACTCTTGCTACATTGTTTTTCAAATGGATTGCCCACGTTTTGGCTCATTCCACCCTAAGTTTTAGTCTGTCACATACAGCCATTACCAGTGGCCACACCCACACAAGAAATTGCCGAAACAGGAAGTTTGTCCGCAACAGCGCGCCGTACTGACGGTAGCAGTGCGCAGGCGCAGTTCCCGGCACCCAGCGGCGTGTTCCTCTTTCCCCAGGTTTCCTGTATCCTGGCAGGTGAGCGTCGCCGGCTCATCGCGGTTGGCCTCCCGTCGCGGCTCGCCCTTTGCTCTGGACACTCGGACCTCAGCACCCCAGCTCCCGGGGCCGCTGCTCCGGCCCGCACGCCTCAACTGGCCACAGACCCATGGCCGAGCGCGGAGAACTCGACCTGACCGGCGCCAAACAGAACACGGGAGTGTGGCTGGTCAAGGTAATGTTCGCTAGGCTCCCACTTGTGCTCCTAGTAGAAGTAGTTCAAGTAACTTGAGGTTATCCCACTCCGTGCGCCTCTTAAAGTTCTTTTACGGTCTTGTAAGAGCTTCACATATTGTGGAAGGCGGGAGTCATCGTTATGTCTTTTTTGCAGATGCAGAAATTAGTTTAGGGACGCAAAGTGTCTTTCAGCCAATTAATAGTCTGAATCTGCCTGAAGCAGATCTTCTTTCTCCACGACCTGACTTTTCTGAGGCCCTGTCTGGTGTCTCCCGATTTGAGCGATTAATTTTACCCCATACCAAAGAATTTCTTGCATCTTTTTTCGGTGAAACTGACTTTGGTCATGAGTCTGTGTAAGGCAGTTGAGTTGCTTTCTGTACAGTTTTTTTCGGCCAGAAAGTATAATAGTATTGGTCCCTGCGTGCCTTTAAGTGCTCTCTTAGTTTGATCGTTCTTAAGAAGCTTTCAAAAGAGCTGAGAGAGCTCTGAACTCACGGAAGGAGATGCCACTGGACTGGAGTGTTCTTTTAGAGCGCTATTGGGTCTCACCAAACGGACCGTCAATGCATGTTTAGACGGAAAGACAGCAGCCTTGGTTAGCCCGTAGTGGGCACTATTTGTGCTTTACTTTTTCATACTGGGGAGTGTTGTCTCTTACGGGAATTTCATAAGACTTATTGTGCATATTCAAAATGTGATCATGAAAGTCTTTGAACCTCAAAATATAGGGACCTTTGGTTGCTTTATGTTTATTTAACTTTTATCACATGGTTTAGTTCTCATTAATTTAAGAAGTACTTCTTGCCCATCTTTCTAAAATAGCTCTCCTATGATCATTTGCTAGCACATCAAACCTGTATTGTATTCTTCAAAGCACTTGTCAGAGTGTAAAGTGATTCTGTGTTCATATGTTCAGTGTTGGTTACCTTCATCCCCCCACCCCACAATCACATTCCATAAGAACAGGATCTTTGCCTATCATATCCCGAATGGTGTTTGGCACATGGTAATTATTCAAATATATCATGAATGAATGCAAGATCTCTCATTCTTCAACATTAGCCTTAGTCTGTGGCACTCATTTGACTTATAGCTATGTCAGTATGACTGAAAAGGATGGAGTAAATGGGTATTTTTCTCTCCAGTTGTATGATAAATGGAGGAGAGTCATTAAGGAAGAAATCTCCCTTGCAGATTGAAGGAAAGAGTTTGAAAAAGTGGTGGGACTTCAGATATGCATTTGTGCTTCGAACACAGGAAATGCTCAAGAAATATTTGCCTTACAGGATGCGTAGTAGATATAGTATACCATGGGAAGTGGAATAGAAATGCAAGACTGAAAATGCATTTTATCGTGGTATATCCTATCCTGGAAAACAGAGGAGACCCTAGAGCAGAAGGTCTATGTAGAGAAAGTTGGGGACGGTATACTTGGATTGTCATATCATGAAATGGAGATGTCCCAAACTTTAGTCTATAGGAAGTGAGGAACCCTTTGGAGAGTTTTGATTAAGGCAGGGATGCCAAAGATTTAAAAAATAAGCTGGCAGTGTACAGTACAAATTAGAGGGGAGGGTAACCAGAGCCAGAATTAGAAAATTATCACAGGATCGTAGTTATGATATAGTGAAGCCTAAGGAATTAGGGAAACTTTTCCAGTAAAAGTTGTCAGGATTTGGTGATAACTTTTACTGAAAAGAATTCAACTCATAGAAAAAGAACTCAGGCCAATGATTTGTTCTTGTTTTAAAAAAGTAGTTGTGATGTTTTGATTATTTTTTGTTTGTAACCTCATTGCTTCCTCATATCAACTTAGCTTGCGTTATTTCTTTTTCTAATCTTATGTAACAAAGAAATGAACAGACTTGAAATATGTCTTTCCAGGGTGTGAAGGGGATGTGTCGGATAGTTACTCTTTCTTGCCAGTTCTTGTCCTTGTCCTCTGATAACCTTATCTATGAGAGAGGATGAGAATTGCTAGCAAATACTTTATTCTAAAATCTATCCATGTTTCTGCTTTATTTGGCAGCTTTTATTTCTGCTCTAAAGGAGTCCAGTAGACAATGAGGTTTGCTTTGTACACCTGTCAGATAATTTGAACTTGTTTCTTTCTTTTTTTTTTTTTTTTTTTGAGACAGAGTCTCACTTTGTTGTCCAGGCTAGAGTGAGTGCCGTGGCGTCAGCCTAGCTTACAGTAACCTCAAACTCCTGGGCTCAAGCAATCCTACTGCCTTAGCCTCCCGAGTAGCTGGGACTACAGGCATGCGCCACCATGCCCGGCTAATTTTTTCTCTATATATTAGTTGGCCAATTAATTTCTTTCTATTTATAGTAGAGATGGGGTCTTGCCCTTGCTCAGGCTGGTTTTGAACTCCTGACCCAAGCAATCCGCCCGCCTCGGCCTCCCAGAGAGCTAGGATTACAGGCGTGAGCTACCACGCTTGGCCTGAACTTGTTTCATTTGCACTGTGATTTCCATGCTTGTATCTTGAGCATACTTGAATTTTCATGTTTGAATTATAGGAATAAATTATATGAAGCAGTGCATCACATTGTGATGATCTATTTCATTTTCACCTTTCTTTGTGTGATATTAAAATATAACTTGTTGCTTAGAAAGTGTATCTTCATTCTTACCTAATCAGAATTTGTGAATGGAATTGATTTCAGGTCTTTTCTCTTTACATTACTATCTCTCATTATAAATAGTACCTTGAGTTCTGATCTTTGTTGCAAAATTTATGAGTTTCTTACCTAGAGTATCTAGAGTTTGTGGGTCATTTTGTGCATATTTAGTTAATTCCATCCCTAGACAGGTATAGAACAGTATGAATACAGTAAGAGGTGCATATATAAGGTCTCTGAGACTTTTGAGCAGGAAAAAAGTCATGTTTGGCCAGTATAGGGAAGATTTCATGGAGAAGGTGACATTTAAGAAGAGCCTATGGTGTTGATTAATAAAAAAAACTTCCGAGCAGGGGTGGGGGAGAAATAGAGTGTGTTTATGAAAAATCAAACGTAGTAGATTATTTACCAGAATATCCAGGACCTGTACTGTTCTGGCCTAATGAAATACTGTTTCTGGAGTTTTGAATATCTTAAATCTGCAAGAGAATGATGATCTAAACAAGTTTTGATAGATAGTAGATATGATTGGATTTAATACTTTACAACAGCTGTAATCTGCCAAAACATATAATTAGCTACAATTTTTACCTTGCTAGGGAACTAGTTCCTTGTAGTTTGCACTACCCTGTTTGTATTGCCCATTTTATGCCACTGTTCGGTTACTCACCAGGCACACTTCTATTACACACTCTACACCAATCATTAAAAAATGGGATGATATTTAAAATATTTAGCACAGTTCTATTGTTTAGCTTCTAATATTTAGACTTACGGAAAAATCATAGTTGGCTGGAGGATAAGGTACACAATAGGAACGAAGAGAAGGTAAAGCTGGCAAGGCTATGAGGGGTGGAATTTTTGTAAGTAATCAGTATCATACCAGGGCCTGAGTAAGAAATGCAGTCTTTTCTTGGGCAAGGGAGTGGAGATGTAGGGGTATTGATAAAAGCTGCGCTAGGTCTAACCAACAACTTTCTAGCCAATAGAAAGACATGTTTCTAGCCTAGTCAACCTTCCTTTTGTAAGCATTTTGACTAATGTTTGTTGGAAGAGAGAATTAGGACAGAGGGGTGGGCATCATCCCCTGTGAATGTGGTATCCTTCCTTCAACAGTTCTAATGCCACCAAGCTCAGCTTTTATTTCTTGACAGACAGGCAAGCACTGGGACATTGGTGGCCAAAGAGAAAGCTATGCACCTAAGAGGGATGAAACTAAAATGGGTGATACTCCAAAGCCTTGCAGATAGTAGGAGAAAAAGGAACTTACATTTTTCTTTTTTTTCTTTTGAGACAGAGTCTCACTCTGTTGCCCAGGCTAGAGTGCCATGGTGTCAGCCTACCTAATAGCAACCTCAAACTCCTGGGCTCAAGCATTCCTTCTGCCTCAGCCTCCTGAGTAGCTGGGACTATAGGCATGCGCCAAGCCACCATGCCCAGCCAATGAACTTATATTTCTTATGTACTAAGTATTTTACAATGCAAATCTATGGTGTAGTTACTAATTATCTATATTTTTCAGATGATAAAATTGAGGATTAGGGAGGTTATCTTGCCCAAGCATGGAACAGTGATTCAAATTGTTCGGCTACAAAGCTTATGCCAACAAAATGTCTTTCCCCCGTGGGTTTCTTTAATGGGTTGTCTCCCTAAAGAGTAATTTCTCTGTCCTTGGTCTTGTCAGCTCTGTATCTTCAAGAAAACATGGGAGCTGGGTCTGGTGGCTCAGCCTGTAATCCTAGCACTTTGGGAGGCTGAGGTAGGAGGATCGCTTGAGGCTGGGAGTCCAAGACCAACCTGAGCAACATGGCGAGACCCTGTCTCTACAAAGAAATAAGAAAAATTAGCAGGGTATGCACCTGTAGTCCCAGCTGCTTGGGAGGCTGAGGCAGGAGGCTCACTTGAGCCTAGGAGTTCGAGGCTGTAGTGAGCTGTGATGGAATCGCTGAACTCCAGTTTGGGTGACAGAATGAGACCTTGTCTCTTAAAAAAGAAAAGTAAAAAAAAAAGGAAAATATGAGAGTAAATGGTTCCTGTCATAGATTGGGTTCCCTGGGTAGTTGATTCTGAGATGGAGATTAGCGTGCAGAGGTTTATTAGGGAGTGCTCTTGGGATCAGCACCTATGGAAGGAAAGGGATTTAAGCAGGATTGGATAGAAGGTGTAATGTAGTCTCCTTGAAAGCCAAGGATGATTTCACAAGAAGCCCTACAGAGTTGCCGTGAGTTAGGGCAAGGTATATTCTGTGACAACCAATTATTGGATGTGGTTTGCCCCTGGAAGAGGGTGTGACCTTGGGCAAGGGGTCTGTCTTCAGTGGAGGCAGTTTCAAAAGAGGACTAACAGCTGAGGGCTCTCTGCTGACCACAT